AATTAAAAAGCCCAACATGGCTAGCATTTCTAGAAATATTATCTAGAAAAATCTATATAAATATCTAAGTAAAATATGTGGTGATAAATGTCGTAATGTGTCAATAAGATTATGTGGTCTTAAAAAGTCTATCTGGAGAATTCTAGGAAAATATCTTGTCCAATTGTGTGGTCTAAAAGTCTCATGTAAATATGTGGTTTAGGAGTCTCTAGAAAATTGTGTGAACTATAAGTTTCATGTAAACACCATATAAAGGGGTAGGGTCCTCCATTTTGTAAAACAAGCCAAAGTGTGTAAGTTTTAGAGTTAAGAAATACAAGTTTTCTTTTGTTCACTTCCTTGTTCCTATTAATATTGTCTTCCTTAAAAGCCTTAGCCAATCTAAGTTAGTAAACTCCTCTTTCCTCCAACAAACTGGTATTAGAGCACTAAGATTCTTGTGAAAAATGGCAAGTAGGATGATTCCTTTTCAAGTTCCCCAACTCAACAAGGATAACCACAACAATTGGAGCATAAGGATGAAAGCGTTGCTCGGGTCACAAAATGCATGGGAGATCGTAGAGAAATGCTACACAAAGCCAGAAGACGAGGTCGCTCTATCACAAACACAAAGGGATAGTTTGAAGGATGCAAGAAAGAAGGATAAGAACGCTCACCCATATATATCAAGCTTTAGATGAAGGCATATTCGAGAAAGTAGCTTCTGCTACTACAAGTAAGAAAGCATGGGAGATCTTGCAAAACTCCCACAAAAGAGTTGAGAAGGTGAAAAAGGTTCGACTCCAAACACTTCGAGGTGAGTTTGAAGCTTTACATATGAAAGAATCGGAATCAACTTCGGATTACTTCTCTAGAGTATTGGCTATTATGAATCAATTAAAGAAGAATGGAGAAAAGTTGAACGACGCTCGAGTAATTGAGAAGATATTTAGGTCTTTAGATTCTAAATTTGACTACATAACAATAGTCATTGAGGAATCTAAAGATCTAGATAGTATGAGTATCGATCAACTCATGAGATCTTTACAAGCTCATGAGAAAAGACTAAAAAGAAGGTGAAAGAAAAGCTATTAGAGTAAGCTCTTCAAACAAAGCTAACTTTGAATGAGAGTGAAGGAAGGCTCGACAATAAAAGAAGTCGAAGAGGAAGAGGACGAGGCCAAGACCGAGGAAGAAGTGCATTCTACAAGAAGGAAAGAAGACAAAGCTCATTTTCCACCAGAAGTCGTGGAAAAGAAAAAGGTACGAGGCAAAATGAAGGACCAAGGTATGACAAATCTCAAATTAAATTTTACAATTGTCAAAAACTTGGTCATTATACTTCAAAATGTAGAAATATTACTAACCAAGTTGAGGAGAAAGCCTACTATTCTTGTCGGGAAAGTGAAGTAGATCATGCACTACTATTGGCTTACAAAGGTGAAGAGAGTAGAGAAAAGAACACTTGGTATTTGGATACAGGAGCAAGCAACCAAATGTGTGGAAGAAAAAATATATTTGTGGAGCTTGACGAATCAGCAAGCGGCAACAATATCTTGGAAGATGAATCCAAGATCCCAATAAAGAGAAAAGGTAAATCTTGATCCGCTTGAAAAATGGTATGCATCAATTTATCTCAAATGCCTATTATGTGCCCAATATTAAGAATAACATTTTGTATTTGAGACAACTCTTTGAGAAGGGCTATAATATTCATTTGAAATATCATAGTCTTTAAATAAGAGATCAAAGAGAAAATTTGATTGCCAAAGTCCCTTTGACAAGAAATAAAATGTTTGCATTAAGCATTCAAAATGATGTTACTAAATGCTTAAAATCTTGTTTTAAAAATTCATCTTGACTTTGACACTTCAAATTTGAACATCTTAATTTTGGAGGCTTAAAGTTATTGAGTAAGAAGAAAATGGTGAAAGGTTTTCCTCCAATAAATCATGCGGATCAATTATATGAAGGATGCTTACTTGGAAAGCATTCGAGAAAAAGTTTTCCAAAAGAAGTGCTTACAAGAGCTAAGAAACCACTATAACTTGTACACTCGGATGTTTGTGGGCTAATTAATCCAAGCTCTCTCTATAAGAGCAATTACTTTGTTCTTTTTATTGAGAATTTTAGTAGAATGACTTAGGTTTATTTTCTTAAACAAAAATTGGAAGTTTTTAGAACTTTCGAAAGGTTTAAAGCTCTTGTTAAAAAAGAAAGTGGCTATAGCATAAAAGCCATGAGATTGAATAGAAGAGGAGAATTCACCTCCAAAGAGTTTAAGAAATATTGTGATGAGAATGGAATTCGTCGCCTATTGACGTTTCCATACTCTCCACAATAAAATGGAGTAGCCGAAAGAAAGAATAGATCAATTCTTAACATGGCCCGCAGCATGCTCAAAGATAAGAGATTGCCTAAAGAACTTTGAGTTGAAGCTATCAATTGCGTTGTGTATCTGTCTAATCAATTGCCTTCTAGAAGTGTGTGGAATAAGATGCCACAATAAGAATGGAGTGGAAGAAATCCTAGCATCTCTCACCTACGAGTATTTGGGAGCATTGTATATGTTTATGTGCCTTATCAAAAGCGGTCCAAACTAGATGACAATGGTGAAAGGTATGTTTTTATCGGTTATGACTCTCGCTCTAAAGGTACAAGTTGTATAATCCAAACAAGGAGAAGATCACCATAAGTAGAGATGTCGAGTTTGATGAAGAAGAAGCTTGGGATTGTGGTGTCCAAGAAGAAGACTACGACTTTTTACTATTCTTTGAGGAAGAAGAACAAGAGAATGGAGAGCAGCAAAAGCTTACCAATCCTCCTCTATCATCTAGTCATGGAGATGCTTCCCCATCATCTTTACAAGGAGAAAGCTCAAGTGAAAAGACACAACGAATGAGGAGCCTACAAGAGCTATATAAGGTAACAAAAAATCAAAATGATATCACACTTTTTTCTTTTTTTCGACTGTGAGCCAATAGGGTATGAAGAAGCAGTGCAAAATAAAAGATGGAGAGATGCCATGGATGAAGAGATTAAAGCCATTGAGAAGAATGACACGTAGGAGTTGACGACTCTTCCCAAAGGAAAACGAACAATCAAAGTTAAATAGCTGTACAAGGTAAAGAAGAACGCTAAAGGAAAAGTAGAAAAATACAAAGCAAAATTGGTTGTCAAAGACTACAACCAACAGTCGAGAAATGATTATGAAGAGTTATTTGCCCCTGTTGCTCGTTTAGAAATCATAAGACTAATTATCTCTCTTGCAGCGCAAAATAAGTGGAAGATTTTTCAAATGGACGTGAAATCCACTTTCCTAAATGGTTATCTTGAAGAAGAAATTTATGTGGAGCAACCAATTGGCTACAAAATAAAAGGACACGAAGGTAAAGTCTTAAAACTAAAAAAAGGCTTTATATGGGTTGAAACAAGCTCCAAGGGCATAGAATAGTAGAATTGACAAGTACTTCCAAAAAAATGTCTTCACAAAATACCCTCACAAGTATGTCTTTTACACAAAGGTAAATGAGAAAGGAGATATTTTGCTTGTTTGTTCGTATGTAGATGATCTTATATTTATAGAAATTAATCAAAGTATGATCACTGAGTTTAAAAAGGTCATGGCTCAAGAATTCGAGATAACGGATATCGGCCTCATGGCCTACTATTTTGGGATTGAGGTAAAGCAAATGGAGAATTGCAAGCTCGTACGCATCCCCGTCGAATACGGAACCAAGTTGTCGAAAAATGATGAAGGTGAAAAAGTAGACCCACACTTTCTAAGAGTCTTGTTGGAAGTCTAAGATACTTAACGTGCATAAGATCAGATATCTTTTTTGGAGTTAGGCTTATTAGTCACTATATGGAGACACCTACAGTGACCCATATGAAAGCTGTAAAGAGAATTCTTCGTTACATCTAAGGTATGCTTGATTATGGCTTAGTCTATTTATCATCAAATGAATTCAAACTTGTTGGATATGGTGACAGCGATTAGGGCAAAGATAGTGATGATAGAAAGAGTACACTGGGTATGTGTTTTACATGGGCGACACAGCTTTCACATGGAGCTCAAAGAAGTAATCGATCGTAGCACTATCTACATGTGAAGCTGAATATGTTGCAACTACGTCAACTGTCTGTCATGCGATTTGGCTTAGAAACTTATTGAAGACGCTTGGTGTTTCACAAGAAGAACCAACCGAAATTCATGTTGATAACAAATTGGCATTGACATTGACAAAGAATCCAGTATTCCACGATAGAAGCAAGCACATTGATACAAGATATCACTTCATAAGAGAAAGCATTGCAAAGAAAGAAGTGCAGCTGAAATTTGTAACCTTCCAGGAGTAGATCGCCGACATTTTTACTAAGTCACTCAAGCATGACGTGTTCCACAAGTTAAGAACTCTATTTGGAGTAGTAAATCAAGTTTAAGGGAAGATGTTGAGTAGTAAGTTTGATTTTTGGATTAAATAATATGGGCTGAAGGATGTTGCCCATAGACTCAAATCAATTAAAAAGCCTAACATGCCTAGCATTTCTAGATAAAAAAATCTATATAAATATCTACTAGAAAAATCTATATAAATATATAACTAAAATAAGTGGTGATAAATGTGGTAATGTGTCAATAAGATTATATGGTCTTATAAAATATATCTAGAGAATTCTAGGAAAAAATATTGTCCAAATGTGTGGTCTAAAAGTCTCAAGTAAATATGTGGTCTAGAAGCCTCTAAAAAATTGTGTGGGCTAAAACTTTCATATAAACATATATAAAGAGGTAGGGTCTTCCATTTTATAAAACAAGCCAAAGTGTGTAAGTTTTGGAGTTGAAAAATACAAGTTTTCTTTTGTTCACTTCCTTCTTCCTATTAATATTGTCCTCCTTAAAAGCCTTAGCCAATCTAAGTTAGTAAACTTCTCTTTCCTCCAACATAGAAGAATATTGTATAAAATTGTCCATCTAAGGATGTTGATAGACATTTACATGGTTATTGTTATTTTGACAGGTAGCGTGCAAGAAGTTTATGAAAACCTGAAGCAATGTCCAAGTGGTATTGAAATAATTTATTTTACACCAGATCAATGTGTTTCTCTATGTGATAGCTATTGCAAACAAGGTGGATGGTGTGGGGGAAGCTGTGATTTGCCAATGACTGCTGATTGTTGTTGTACTGGTTGCCATCAAAGTGATTCTGTTCCTGGATAGATAAGCATTGTTTGAACAATAAATAAATATATGGTTTTCTGAAATTTGTTTCTTATGCTTCCCTCTTTTTTTATTTTTTTTCTTCGTCGGAGAATTGGGGATGACAAAATGTTATATCGTGGGGTATCCGTCCTGTTCATTGCTTTGTGTCGATGAAATAGTTTTTGAGGAAGACAAATTGTTCTATAACTGTTTGATTGAAGTTTCGGCATTTTCAACTATGATTTGAAATCAAAATGGGAGAGTTTAAAATTTAATAAATGATAGTAATGTAAAAAATAAAAATAAAAATTAAACTTCTACCAAAATTTGGTCCAAATTGAACATAGTTGAGGCCAATAAACTAACATTTAAAAAAACAAAAGAAGAAGAAGACGACATAACTATTAAAATTTTAATGTTTATGCGGACAATTTGGTCAATTGTAACTTAAGATTCATACTTCATGCTTCACATATCAAAACCTTCTTTTCGTTGCAACTGTTGAAAGCCAAAAAGCTCCACCATCAACTTATTGTGGTTTTTTTGGTATTGAGATTTATAGTTTATTTGTTTCATTGCCATTAAGTAGGAAGAAAAAAATAAACGAAACAATCACAATTTAAAACTAAACCAGACTTTTAGTTTAGTATTCTCAAACATTTTTAAATAGTTTGATTTAGATTTAGATTTAGATTTTTGCTCCAATCATTTTAAATGTTTGTTTTGTAATATGTCAACAATTTCTCAAATCAAACCGCTTGTGCCCCTAAATAAAATATTCAATCGTTAAAATGGAATCATTTAGCAAGATATAATTGTATTGGTTATTTCCGCAATGGAAGATTTTGATGGCAACGACCATCACTAATTTGTGGCATACTAGACAACAAAAAAATCCATCTCTTACAACGTCGTTGACATCACTTAAAACGTCAATTATAAAATAGTAGTAAAATAAAAATAAAAATAAAAATAAATTAAACTTCTGCCTTGAAATTGGTCCAAATTGACATTGATGAGATCGATGAACTACCATCTGAACCTCAAAAATTAGACGTAACTCTTAAAATGCTAATCTATATGTGGACAATTTGGTCAATTGTCACTCACCATCTACCCTAATTTGATAAACCAATCAATTTAGCATTGTTAATAGTTCATACTTCATGCTTCACACATCAAAACCCTCCTCAAGCCCCAAATGTTGAAAGCCAAAAGCTCCAAACCATAAATTTATAGTGGTGTTGCTGGTATTAGAATATACATATTTTTTTCATCTTCCATTAAATAGAAAGATTTGTAAACAATGAACTACTAACTCTAAATTGAACTGGAAGAAAAAAATATATACACAAAGAAACCACGGTTTGAAACCAAACCAAATTCTTAGTTTAGTATTCAATTTTTATCAAATCGTTTTATATATAGTTTGATATTGATTTTCTCAAACTACTTTAAATGCTAGGGTTTGTAAATATGTCAACAGCTACTCAAATCGAATCTCTTGTATTCTAGAAAAAAAAATAGTGAGTTGTTACTGGTGACATCAACTTGCACGTTATAATTATATTGCTTATTTTCGCAAAGGATGATTTGGTGGCAATAAACCTCACCGATTTATCGCATATTGGGCAACAAAAAATATCCATCACTCAGAACATCATTTATTAAATTCCTCGCAAGTGTAGCACAAATCTATTGTAATTTTAGAAAGTATATAAATTTTTAACTTTTCATGAACTCAAGATTTAACTTTCAATTTTTTCCGCTTTTTTTCCAAAATTAAAAGTCAAGTTTGACACTTACTCCATTATTCACCCAAAAAAATAAATAAATAAAAATACTCTCTTTCTCAATTTTAGGAGAATACCTTATTTTTGTTAAAAAAAAAATCTTTTTCGTTTAATATCAATATTTGATTTTCGTTAGAAAACCACATTTTCACAGGTTACATGTTTGGGCAACATTTGTGTGTACTACGTTACTTGTAGAGTAGTATTAAAATATTTTAATTTTTTGTTATGGATAATTATATTAACACTACAAATTTTGTTAGGTATACCATAATTTTTTAATTATTTTTCTTATTTATCAGTAGTTAATAAATTTACAATTTATTTTGTTTCCATTGCCATTAAAGTAGAAAGATTTGTATACAATGTACTAGAAACCTTAAATGATCCGGAATGAAAAAATACAAGAAGAAATCACGGTTTAAAACTAAACCAAAGCTGTTATGTTAGCATTGATTTTTTCTCAAACCCTTTTAAATAGTTTGGTATAGATTTAGATTTAGGTTTTCTTTTTTTTCTTTTTTCTTTTTTCACACTGTTTTAAATGATTTGGTTTCTAAATATGTCAACAACAGCTCAAAGTAGTGATGGTAAAAAAACTCGCCCTGCCCCCGCCCTAATAGGGTCCCGCCCTGAATGGGGCAAAAAGACCCGCCCCGAATGGGTTGGCGGGGGGCGGGGCGAGGATGCCCTTCCCCGAACCCGTCTCGTGAAGAAAAAAATAAAAAAAAATTATTTTTGAACAATTCATTCGTTAAAAACTCATTTTTAATTTGTATTTTATTCTCTAATAATAACATAATTCGAAACTTTGAAAATGTAATATAAAAAAAAAAAAATTAAACGGAACAAAAAGTTGCCCATCCCATCCCGTCTAAGGTGGGGCGGGATGGGATTTGGGCGAGATGTGACGGGGGCGCCCTGCCCCAAACCCGTCCCGTTGCCATCCCCAGTTCAAGGAGAACTACTTGTACCTCTAGACAAAATATGCCATGGTTAAAATGGGATCAGCTAGCAATAATTGTATTGCTTATACCAATTTGTGGGCAGCAACGAAAAATACTTGTCGCTCATACCTTCATTGTTTAAATTACTTGCTTCTGTGTAATACCAAATCCATTTTTCTTTTAAATAATTAATTCTTAACTTTTCATGAACTCCTTCAATAGTTGTCGTGAAAAATTCACTTTCAATCTTTTTCTGCCATTTTTTCAAAGATAATTAAATGTTAATTTTGACACTTGCCCTATTATTATTTGAAAAAGGTGTATGATATACCTTATTTTTAATTTTTTTTTAAAAAGTACCTCATTTAATTTCAACATTAAATTCTAAGTAAATATTTAACTTTTCTTAATTATAAGTTAACTTATACGTAAAACAAATTACCTATAAGTAAAATATCGTTTATGAGGAAAAAAATTTCATATTAAGAGTATTTCAAGGAGACTCTATTTTTAGAGAGTATATTCTATCATTTGAAGAGTATCTACAAATTTAGAGAGTTAAAATTTTTTAAAGCACTCCAACAAGTTTTTATATTTAATAGTTAATTTTACTACTCCAAAAAATATTTATTACATTTCTTAAATATTTTGAATGTATTTAATTATAGGGAGTGAGTTTAACACTCTCTAAATTGAAATGTTAATTTAAAAATCTTTTGGAGCATGATTTTAAAGATCGACTCTTTAAAATAGAAAGCATCTCATGTTCTTGGTGATACTTTAAGAAACGTTAAATTGAAAACTTTACTAAATGACATATATATTTAAAAAAAATTCTTTTAAAAACAAAATTCAGAAGTGGCTAATAAATTCTCCAATATAAGTTGGATAATTTTGAAAATCGCTACTAAAACTACTGAAAATAGATTCGCTCAGAAACGGTCAAAATCAGTACTTTAAAAATCGTTCATAACTGATTCGCCGAAACTCCAAGCAAGCCCTTATATTTCATTTTTTATTATCAAACACTATTTTAGGATAACATTGTTTTGCTTGTAGAGTAATCTATTGTATTACTTTTAGGATAACATGTATTGCTATATTAATCCATCCCGAACCAACACTTTCGTCCAACACTATTTGTCTATTTCCCACCGTTGCCGCCACCTTCGGTTGCAACAAAGCTGGTATGATTTCTACAAACACAAGCATACCTCTTCATGTTTCCCTGCCGACAGCATTTTCTTAAACCATGTTATCTTCATTCCATGTAACGCTTCGTTTTTCTTCAGTCAATGTGGTTCAATGTTATCTTCAATTTCAATATTCATGGAGTTATAATTTCAAAAACTTTCCCATTAATTGGACAATCTAATTGGTAATTGAAACTATGACTTGACGGGAGTTTGGCTATATAAAGAGGTTTTGTCCCTAAGCTCAAGTATTACAAAAACTATATCATACATCATCATTTCAGAGTATTGAGAGAGCTTAGAAGTGCCAGAAATTGGAGAAAACGAGAGCTTCTGGAATATTATCAATAGCTAGAGGTATGCGTCTAATCCATGGGTTTTCGATTTTCTCGATCCAAGTTGTTTTTGCATAATTATTTTGGATCGATATTCATTCTCACATTTGGTATCAAAGTAGCATAACCTTGGTGTTTTGCAAGAAATCTATAAATCTCAATTTTTTATCCGAATTTTTTTTTTTTTTTTTTTAAATCAAAGTTCAGATTTGTAACGAAAATCTATTTTCTAGCCTTTGTGTATTTTTAAACCTGAATTTTGACATTAAGAAGGTTGATTATGAGGCAGGCCGAAACCGAGTCAATTTCAACCCAACTAGAGGTTGAGGATGACTCCAGTTTTCGAAAATGAGGATGACCTTGTCGTTTTCAATAACATGACCTGCAGTTTGTACTGGGCCGATTTTTATGAAAGATTTATCGGGCATATCCAGTTTCAATTGGGTCGACTTTAGATAATTAATTTATTGGGCCAGGTTTATACAGTTTAATTCTTGGGCATTTATTTTAGGGAAAAAATCAAAATGGAAATTACATCGTCCCAAGTGTATAAAGATTGGGATGCAAATATCAGGTGGAGAACTTTTTTATGCACATGTCAGGGTTTTATGTAATTATTAAATGTGAAATATTTATTTTTATCATTTAATAATTAGTATATGCGTATATTAACTGATGGCTTGTTACCTTATTTATCGTAATTCTTCTTAACTACCATATCAATCATCCTCTCTCTCTCTCTCTGTCCCCCACGATTTCACGTAATCTCCAAACCCTCTCTTTGTTCT